GACCTTTGCTTTGCACATGAATTTTCATTCTGTCTCTGAAGCAACATAAGAAAATTTCTTCAAGGTTTTAAGCAATTAATTCATACTTAGAGTTTCAAGGGATCTAAATCTATCGCCAGAAGACCTGAAGTTGCAGCCAAATGCTAGAGTATGCTACCTATCTGTTCTGTCAAAACCCTATATGAGACAAAGGAAATGTAAATTTTAAGTTTTTAAAGCATCAGAAAGAAAAAGGCAGTGTGGAATCCTACAGGGTTCCTGACTTCAACTTCCAAGGTCTTGAAACACTTGTAGGGCTTATGGAGATCTTAAATCAGTCCTTGGAGTCTCTGGGACTCCTGTTCCTCTGGGCTTGTAAAATCTCTAGCTTTAAGGGTCTCCACAACTCTGGATACACTTGAGTGATATGGCTTTATGAAACTTAAGGGTCAGCCCCTAAGTTCTTTTTTCTTCTCTATTTCTCACCTTCCACAAATTACTGGAAGTCTACACTAGACCACAGATTTTCTCACCTGATCTTTAAACTGCAAATTTTCTTGCCCTGGTACTCTTCTTGGCAGGCAGAATTGCTACAAGGAGAGGCAGATTTCTTTAAATATACTTTCATAGGATCATTGCAGCATTAATCAATTAATTAATTAATTAATTAGCTTATTTTAATGGGTGATCTTAAAGAGGCAAAAGCCTTGGATGAGGCTAGCAAAAAGATTTACTAGCAAATGTCTGTATCAATAATCCCCTTTCTAGAAAGTTCTATCAGTGTTAAACACTGAGTTCAGAAATTAGAGGATGCCGCTCTAGTTAAAATCGAGTGGTTCTGTGTCAGGGTGACTCTGGCAGATTTGCAGCAGAAAACAAGCTGACTATTTCTGTTTTGTGGAGAACACTTACAGAGTGCCACATCTCAGCAAACCTATTCTAGCTCAGATATGAGCTAGAACTGTTAAAGAAGCCAGAGAAACATATGGAATTTGGAAGTGCCATATGTTCCTTCACTCCTGAACACCACAGAGTCCTCTGAACTAACAAACACCCATGAAGAGATAAGAGAGAAAGATGCTGTCTCACAAGTGCAAACAACAAAAAAAACTTCCTTTTGTGCCAAAGTTCTGGCAAAAGCTATTAGTTTTGTTTAACTACAGTATCCTTGATTGAAAGATTGCCACAGCATGAACATCCAAGACTTAAAAAGTAGGCTGCTCAAAAGATCACCAACAGCCATTTATGAACTGGAGTTACGTAAAAATGGTGAGAATTTAAACACAAGGTAGTCATTACCTTTGAACTTGTCTGATTGCTCCATTTCAGAGAAAATATGGAAGGTTACCCATGCAGATGCAACCCCAATTAGAGACAACACAGAGCCCAGTGGCATAATGGCAGATCTTTGAGAACCTGAAGGGAAACTGCATCTCCTCAGCTTCAATGTACTGATAAACTTTTATTTCTTGTTTTAGACAGAGGCACTGTGAATCTTTGCAGGTATCAGTGTTGCATTCTAACTCCCTAGATGTCAGCAGCTAGTTATACTTAATCTGACCACTTCCTAACAGTGAGAATTTCAGCCTCCCCAACCTAACTTTATAGCTTGGAATTAATATTTTGTATTTGATTGCCACAGGAAAGGATTCAGGTTGCAAAATTATCTTGACAGTGGCAGCAAGTTGCTGCTAGTTACCACCTTGCCTCTACTTCTCCCCTTCCTCAATATGAGGGTGTAGGTGTAAATCATAGGACACAGAGAGCTGTACTATGCAGACCTTTCTCACCACTAGACTAAAGTAGGTGATCCACATGGCCAGAAAGGTTGGACACTTAAGGTGTAAGGATTACAGAAAAAAGTAATAAAACCCACAAAGATCATGTTATTTCTGTTGTACAGTTTTATGTAGAGCGGGTCACCATATCCATGTCCTTTGCAAACAATGAAGTGCAGCATTATTAAAGCATCCCAAAATTAAAAAACGCAGGTAGTTTCCTCTAAAATCAACAAGAAAGGTAAGCAATCACAGTACTTCAAGACTGGATAATGTGTTTTGCAAAAGAGAAATACATTTGAAAGACTGCATCCTCCACAACTTCAAATGTAACTTTTATCACATTATAAAATACTTTCTCAGAAATTAGGTTTTCCAATTTTCTTCAGGGATTATCTTGGTATTTTCAATTCTACTATGTCAAAGTCTCTTTGAAACTACACAGCAGTACACTCCAGACACCAAAATCTCTTCCAAGAAGCTGAACTGACAAGTTTATTTCCTGGGACCCAGCTGAGCAGGAGACTTCAGGATGTACTTAAGCAAGCACAGGTGTAACCTCAAAGAGTTCAACGGGAATAGCCACATCTCTTACATTATATACACACTTGATTACCCTGCACAGAACCCCTTGATGCTTTTTTTACTCCAGTTTGTCTAGGGTCCAGAAACAATAAAATGTACAAGCTTCCCAAGTGACCTCTTGAAGACTTCAGCTGGAAGAACTAAACTTTGAGAAATATAGCACCTTTGAAACAGCTTATGCTTACAGGAATAAGAAAAGTCAGTTACACACACAAGACTGTAGTTGAAAAATAGTTCAGGATTATTTTCTTCGTCTAGTAAAACCATTTCAAATCAAGTTCCAATTTCATGCTATCAGAATGTATTTTATGGCTCTTTCCAGTTCTGGCCACATGCAATGCTACTTTACAGGACATTACCATCCACTAACAGAAGAGAAGGTATTAAAGCAACTAGTGGTACAATTATATCTCTAGGAGTAATATATTCTACTGACAGCTTATACCAGGAGGACCCTACAGAATACACTAGACTTCTGTGTAACTTTTGGATTGTTTCTGCCCCTTCCAAGCAGGCTAACCTACTAGTCTATTTTCAAGCATCTGTTATTGATAAGGCACCTTACCCAATGCTCTTCCTTTATTTTAGCCTATTTTCAAATTCACATCAACCCTTAGATAGCATTACAAACAGTTTATGGGTAACACAAGAGTTGGGGAAAAGAGTAACATTTCTGTAATTCTTAAATTTCTCTTCATGACTCATGTTCTCCCTTTCATGTTACTCCCAACACAGTTTCCTGCTCTTGAGCAGAACTAAGAGAAGATTCAAATCAGCAAAGGTTTCCTGGACCAGGATTCAATGGGTTAGGATGAATTATTTTCAGCCTTTGCACCCAACTGCACAAGAGAGCATCCCAACAAAATCTTTTGTTCACACCACTGCTAAAGTACTATGCAGGGCACACAAATCGGAAAAAAATTCAAAACCTACTGGGGGTCTAGGTAATATCTAAAAAATCACAATGCATTAGAAAGACAGTCTACTGGTTCCCTCCTTATTTCTTCTTGCAGACTCTACTGGACCACCATTCCATACATTTCCCAGTGTCTGATTTCCTTCTTTCTTTCTTCCTGACTCCACAAGTTTTCTTGTGGAGGTTCTTCTACCTCCTTTAATTTCTCTTGGATAACACATTCATTGCCAGGAATGCAGGGATGATAAATCCAGATTTGGTGCTGAGAACAACAGAGTTTATGCAGAGAGAAAATGACATGAAGAGACTGATTGGTAGGTGCTGCCTTTATAGTTAAAAGCCTGAAATTTCCAACTAAGTTCTGTATCCTCCTAAACTGAGCTCTATCCAGATAGTACTGAAAAGAAGATTCCTGCCTTGAACAAGCTGCAATTTAGGACACAACAGAGTATTTCACCATGTGGCCTCCTCCTTACACAAACCTGCAAAGATTTCTGAAAGATCCTCCGTGAAATGGAGGCTGACTGTCCCGCTGGGGTATAATTAAAGTTTGCTGGGAACTTTGTCTAAAGCCAGGGGTTCATTTTAGAAAAAGTGGAGTAGAAAGGATATTGATTTTACTGTGATGATAGACAGGGTTTGGTCATCCATAGTCTTTTGAAGAAAAAGAAGAAACAAATGAAATGAAATGAAAACAAAAGAAACATCTAAATTCTAGTTCTCCTCAGGAGCTAGAGCTCATCTGAGCTGTCTCCACCTTTCTGGACATGAATCTGTACAACTGTCAGGCCTGCCAGACACTACACAAACCTGCCACTTCAATTCTTGACACTTAAGTAAACAGAAACATATATTGTAATAAAAAAAGAGAAATCTCTGTCTCAGAGAAGAATAAAGAGGTCTGTTCCAGAATAAGCAAATATCTGACATTATTCTTTTCAGTATTAATCTTTTCCAAGGCTTTGAAGTTTGACAGTGCTATTTCACAAATCCCTATGAGGCTGCTATACTGCTAGGCTAGAAACCTGACTGCAGAACTGAGCAGAAAAAGAAGTGAAAAATTCCCAAACAGTTGAGAAATATTTCAGGCTGACTGGTGAGTATTTCTGTTTCTTGCTGCTATGAATTTTCTGTATCTTGAAAAACTTGAGGGGATATGACAATTTCCAAAACAAATAGAAACAAGTAAATTCCAAATCTCTTGTTAAAAATCATCTGGTCTACTTGACTTCCATATTTTCATTGAGTTCAATCAAAGTTTGTATGCTCATTTTTCAAGCTGTGATTTGCCACCTAGGTATTTCTTAACAAATCTTCTCTTCCCCATTCTTTTCTCTGTGGCAGTCTTGTGACTTTTTAATTATGTCTTGTCCAACTAGCAGTACTGGCAAAAGGCAAAAGAATTCTTGTTAGATCAAGTATTCCCCTCTTTCATGTGACATAGAAATGCTTACACTTCATTAACCTTTATTATAAACTAGTCACTGGAAAAGTTACTTTGCTAGAACCCACACTATGGTTTCAGCCTACAAACCACGCAATGTCAGAATGCTAAATTACAGTAAAATACTGCTCACCTCCTTATGAACCCAAGATTAATGATACGATGCAGAAGGGAATAGCAGTGCTACCAGGAGCATAACAGGTCACAATCACTTCTAAAGTAGCTCATGGAGAACTGGCAGGGAAACATCACAGACAGTTCCCAGTACTGCAGCCCCACTTCCTATCCCACAACCTACCCATCACTGAGACATCATATTCGACCAGCAGAGTCGCCTCCTGTCCGCATTGTTTGAGAATACTCATGGCCTCAGCATGTGTTGTTCCCAACAGTCGGATCCCATCAACACTCAGCAGCCTGTCCCCAGGTTTGATTGTGCCCTCTCTGAAGGGAGAATAAAGGAATGATCTTTGTTAGTGTAAGATAAATTGATTTGGAGATAATACCATTTTTATGCAAAGCGATTCTCTTGCACCCTCCCTGACACCCATCCCTCTTGCCTTAACACTTAACATTTACTTTGACAGTGAGAATGATCAGAGGGCGCTGTGGAAAGGAAATTGCTTTAATTGGAAAGTCAGTGACTGGAAAACAGCTTACCACACAGTGAAATAATCAAGTCACGTTAAATTGCAACTAAGTATAGCTTCTGCTCAACATATGCTTTCTCTCTGCCTTGTCCACACAACTCTCTTTTCATACATACATAAATAAACACATCCTCCTCCAATGTTTTCTTAAAAATAAACACGAGGTGCAAACACATGGGTGCTGAAACAGATTGCAAAATATGAATGTCCATTTATTGATTTTCTTAAAAAATATCTTTTACTTGCATAATTCCATTTTTTCTTTCTTCCTACCTGGCAGTAATTCAGCTCTAAATATAAAATTCTGTCTCCTAGGCATATCTTACAACCTATTCAAAATTATAAAATAAAATTAAGTACTAACACTGCCAGCTTAAGAATCATGGAGAAAAAACAAGGAAACCAGGAGATGAGGGAGAGAAGAAAGCAAGGGAACAAAAGTAATGCTCTCTTGAAACATTTTCTTCTCAGTTAATGTTTCCACGGTCAAAAATGTCAGCATAGGCTACAGATACCAATATGCTTTAAAGAAACTGCCCTTTGAGTTTCTGTAATAGTTTAAGGACACAAATGCCATTTCTGAAAATACAGTTTGTACATAAAAATAAAGTGAATATTCTTTCTTTATATATTTACAAAATGGCATTATATACAGATATGACCAGAACATAAATCTGTATTCAGAAGTTTTCTAGCTAAAGTTATGTGTGACCTCACATGCAGAAATGTACAAACATCTTAACAGAATAATACAATACTCAGTGTTGTCACAGTATTATTCTGAACTGCAAGTGTAAAAGATTATGGTGTTAGAGTTTAAAAAGCAAGAGATACATCAGCTGTTTGAAGAATGCAAAAAATGTGCTCTGACCTATTTCAGGAATTTATTCTAATTATTTTAGGTGCAAGATTGTAAATTCAAGTTCACACACAGCATAACGTGCTGAGCCTCTGTGGTTGCCCATTACTATTGCTGCAGTTATTATTCCTATTACAACAATTAAAGACAAACCCACGAATTTTAAAGATGCATTTAAATGCATCTATTTCACTCAAAATCTTAACTTCTGTCCCAAATAATTCACCTTTCTCCATTTCTCTTTCACATAAACTCCAGAGAAAGATAAATTGTACCTGTCAGCAGGCCCTCCAGGTCTGACACATGTTATTACAACAGGACGAGATTTATTTCTGTCATCGTGTGCTCCACCTAGAAAGAAAAAATCAGAGAAAGTATACCTTCATTTTATGCTTTTAATGAAAGCTCATTTCCAAAAGGCAAGCCTACATCTTGTAGCATGCACTTTCACAGATGGGCTAAAAAGATCAAAAAATGACCAAGCCATTAATATGACCCTTCATGAATTTTACCTAAATAAAATCAACATTCTCTATGTATAGATGAATCTTTAAAAAACATTTGTATGGAGGGATTCTTACTAAATGCATATTTTTTTCTTATAACCTTTACTCTGAAAATGTGATCTCAGTGTGTACACACACATTGCTTTGCAATGTTTGCAGCCCAGGGAAAAAAAATTCTGTACTTTATGTATACTCAGAATAACGAGTGACCACTCATTAAGAAATTTATGTATTAAATAAAAAAGACATTTTCCCCAAGGAAAGTAATAATTCATTGTTGGGGTATATTGATTAACAGCTGCATCTTTTCTTCTGTTCTCCAAGTCAGTGATAATATTTTAGTTGTACAATTCAGACCACCAGCAGTATTAATCAAATTTCCTGCCTAATATATACAATACTACAGGTAATTATATTTTTTAAGAACTATGATCTTCCTGGTGATTTCAGTGGTAGCAGAATCTGGTCTTATGTGACCAGAGTTTGTCATGTGTCCTTGATTACTTAAGGTTCTTCCCTAAATAAAAATTAGAGCAGCTCATGAAAGCAATACATGAGGGTATGGAAAATGTAATATATTGATTTTTACAAACTGTAAGCCTTCTGAGTGCTTAAAAAACTTACCACTTTTTTTTTTTAAACAAAATGCAGATTTCAAACTCCAAAATAACTCACCTCTTATTACAAATCCAAAAGTGTTCCCCTCTTTATGTAAAGTAACTTCCACAGTTCTAAAGATGAGACCTGATCCTTGTACAGCTAAAAGAAAAAGAATTGAAACCTTAACGGTTATTATTTTCCTGATTATACACACAGATTTACACCTTTTCTAATTTAAGGTACATATTGAGTCATACAATTGGAAAGACTCAGTTACAGAACAGTCAGACAGAAGACCTGCAATTAAATAGAACTCATTGCCTATTTGAGAGAATTTTGGGCTAGATGTTCTGCAAAGGGACAATGGTTTGGAAAAAAGACACAGACGTATATAGCATGTGAGGAATTTGAGTATTACTGTTTAAATTATGGCATAATTTTGCTTTTCTTATAGTTACAGAGAGTGCTAGAAAATATGGAAGTACACAGTGAGACAAAAATGACACAAAATTCTTAAGAGTGCCTACAGAGCTTGTGGTTTAGCTACGAAAATTTACTTTTGTCACTTAGAGAGAAGACAGTCAAGATTTTTTGGGTGTTTCTTTGATCTCAGGTTACTAGATTACGATGCATAATGCATTTTATTATCATAAGGATTTTTTTTTCTTTTTCAAAATGTAATATGTTCCCTCATAATTGGTTTGGTGGTTTTAAAGCACTAGTTAAAAATCATAATTGGTGAGCTAGTAAAAAAGTTCTTTGGCTTCTAGCTGAGTCAGTATTTTCTCTGGAAGTACTAAATAACTGGTGTACAGCTGGACTAGGAGGTGAGAAGCCTAATGCACAGACCATTGCATTTGGGTGTGATAATCCACTTTACAGAATTTGAAACCACTGCTGTTAAGAGACCAGCAGACAATTTGCTATTAGCTTTTACAAGTAAAACTTTGGCAGGGTCTAAGAATTCTCTTTTCCAATGGGAAAAAGGACTCTGCAAAATCACATGTGCTCACACTTTCCACCTTCCAGTCAAATACTGTAAAGAGTACAAACACACATAAAATTTAAAAAAAAAAAAATCAAAACCAAACCAACCCACCTCTATAAAATACATGCTCTGTGAGCAGCAGAACTAATGAGAACTTGTGTCATTTAATGTTCCTGCCTGCAATAACCAGAGTTTCCCTGTCAGGATACCCTGAGGGGGGCAATGGATGCCACAGGCTACCCTGTGTGTGCTGCCAATCATGAAAGGCACCAGGAAGAGCAGAGGGCTCTCTCTGCCCCTCTTTCTCTCTCTGAGGACTTCCCTGCTCACAACTCACTCAAGTGTTTATTTCCAGGAGATGTACTGTATGTAATGTACTTTTTTTTGGGAATTTTTCAGTCCCTATTAAAAAAGTTACTGCAGGGAACCAGGAAAACTACCCAGTGAAATGACATAAATCTCATTTCCTTAGGAAAACAGGTGAAAGATGACTCTCCAGAGCACTGCTCCGTGCTGTAGTAATTCCTGCTACAGCTTGAAGATCACGACCGTGTTACTGATCCCATGTAGTTGCTTTCTTTTCAGTTGGAAATGTTTTACTGACTTAAAGAATTATGAGGAGAAGACAACTGTTGTCTCCATTTCTGTTGACAGAAAGCAGCCTTGAGTGTAGCTCAGGATGAATCCACACTTCCCTGTTTGCTGTGGCTTGTAACCGGCCCTGGGGAGAGGTGAAACCTGCAGCTCAGCACTGAGGGATGGCAGCAGCATCCTTCCACTTGGGAACAACCACTCAGTGGCTGTCCTTGCACCCCAGCCTCAGACTGCTAGGGGAAAAGACTCCAACAACTCCTTGCCAACAGCAAAAGGCAGATGTGAGACAGACACTGCTCACCCACCAGTTTTAAACACCGAGGTGGCTCGTGCTGAAAATAGCAGCTGGATGCTCCTGCTGTGAAAACTTCAGAAATGGAAGGAAGCACTAGGGAGTGGGATTACCACTCCTCAGCCAAATTTAATCCATCATTATTAAATGATTGACATTTCCCAGCACTGAAACTATGACAGTCCTCTCTCTGAGGGAGCAAGTGTAGGAACAAGAGTAGAATTTCATTAGGTATGGGGCTTGGAAGGAAGTGCCAGGACTTCTCCATGTGGCTTACTGGAAAATTTACATGATTAACAAAAACAGCTTGCTCACTAGTAGTTCACGGAAAAAAACAGACTGCTAAGTATCTCCAGCTTTATTATCTATACTTGCATGGAGAGGCTGGAAATTCCAAGGACTTAAAGTTAGGAACACCACTGTAAACCCGTGTGTCAAAATCCAGTCTCAGTGAACAAGAATGGCACATATGCTAAAAGAAGATGAAAACCAAAGAAAGCCCAGTTGCATAAATGCAAAACAAATAATTCTGGTCCAACAACTACATCTGCAGCAAAGTAACTCTGAACTCAGCTGATTAATTCAGATACTGTGCTTCAGATCGTGAAGTTCCCTCACCACATGCAAACACTAATCAACAGAGAACATTCAAAATTTTTTAATGTGCTTGTCAGGAGGTCTCATAAAAAACCAAATATGTAACTAGATTAACCCTCCAGCTGCTAGAAAGCAGTGGGGAAGTTCATCAGCTTCTGAGCACCAAGGACAGTGATGGATTTTTTTGGATTCTATTGCAAGGAAACTATTTAAGGAGACAAGAACTTCCCAGTTGGCACCTGAGATTCTTCTGGCCAGATACCAGGAAACCACATCTTCTGCCCTCCAGTGAGCAGTATGAATGATAACACACTCTTTCAAGGGTGTGCCTGGTGCAGCCCCTTTGGTGGCAGTCAGCCACCTACACTCCTTCACTTTAGGTCCCAGGTGTTCAACTCACTGCTTGTCTGGCTTTCACTTCATACCTGATAGACTCGACTCACACTGATTTTGTCCTACAGACACACCATTACAGACACAGGCACATAAAGACAGAGCAAAAGAGAGGCGAGGAAAACATTCAGTAACACTCTGTAAGTTTGGTGTGAGCATAAACTTGTGTTTTGAAGAAAATCCTGCTCAGTGAAAGCCCTTGTTTCAGTCACACATTTCTTTCATGTATCCTTATGGCCTGCCTCACTGTGTCTTCTGCTCTAGAAATGAAATTTTGCCTAAATGTGGTGCCAGAAAAGACTAGGAAAGTCCCAAAGGATACTGTTTACCTAGGAGAGAGGGATGGTGCTGCAAGTGGAGAGAAGAAAGGGAAAAGCAGAGGCAAAACTAGCAAATACTCACTGGTCTCATCTCGGAGGATCTTACTGTAAAAAGAAGGATTTGCTTGCCCTGGAACCTGCTTAATCTAATTTCTAGTATTCAAAACTGCAAAGAAGCAAACAAAAATCCCAAAACAAAACCCAATCAAACAACCAAAACCAACCCTCACCCCCAGAAAACCACAAACCAACAAAAGGCAGAGATTGATAACTCTGCTCTGTTGTTATTGGGAGTTCTGCTAATAAAACATCTGAGAGCACCCCTCTGTACTGCCAGTTCTTTTGTACCGCTTCAATGCTCTGTGATAAACCACAGGAAAAAATAAAATTAGGAATGGAAAATTAAAAAATAACCACTACTAAAATGACTATTACCAACCTTGCCCATCTCACTGTTGACTACATCTGCTATTCTGCTATAGGTTTTCAGTTTGCCCTGCAAATACTTACAGACTGGAGGCAGCTCATACTCCACTTCTAACACAACCCTTTCACCAACATTTTTGAGCAGGCTGATGATCTCATCGTGGCGAAATTTGGTCAGGTTGATTCCATTCACAGATTTGATGTAGTCCCCTACATCCAACTGGTCGCTCCTAGGGAAAAGTACATACTCCTTTTGTGAAAGACAGATCTGATGAACCAAACTAAATTCCTTAAATTACTGTTTTGTGATTGTAATTTTTTCCATTAATCTAGATTTAAAAGAGTTGATTTTTCTAACAGAAAGTGGCATTTTAAGATGCTCTAGCTGGTTAAATACTAAAATAAGAACATTGTTGCATTATTCATTCCTGAGGTACAAAGTAAGGTGTACAAAAGGAGTTGCATGATTTGACTGGTTTGGGCATAGGATCTGGAAAGTCATCTTCTTCATGTCCCCATCCTTGTCTCTCTCTTTGGAAAATGTCAAAAAAAAGTTTTTTTGGACATTGGTTGCTTTCACAGTTAACAAGAGAGATGGGCCAAGCCAAAAGCATATGTTCTACTCAGTTACTTGGGATGATTTAACTCAACCCTTATGTTTTTTGACTTGCCTCACTCATGATTAAAAGCTTTTTTTCTTTCCCCTGTAGTAATAAGCAAGGTACTTATGACTTTAGAGTCTTTTTAATCTCAAAGTTATCTAATGAAGAGTTAAAAAAGAATTAAATTACGGTAGCACTGTCACTCTTGTTTCCATTTTGGTTTTTTTTCCCCTCAGTATGTTATGCTGCTTCTCTCAAATTTTTGTTCAAAGACAAGAAAATAGAGAAATAAAACATATATAATTTAGAAGAAATATCATGAGTCTTATGACAAGTTTCAAAGATCTCATTGGTATTTCTGTTTTTTTATCAAATCAGCCTTGAGCAAAAAGAAAGACCAGCTGTTGCCATTTCCCTCTGAGGTTCTCCAGTGTGATGGGCTGCCATTATAGATGCATCAGTCACATATTTTTCAGGTGACCTTTCTGATGCAGTACATATTTCTGAAGCAATCGCATCTTATAATGCATTTTGTAGCTAGAGATGTGGTTACCTAGCAGCAATTCCTCCTTGACGAAGGTTAGATACTCTTGGTTTCCCATCCTTGTCGATACCACCCGATACTGTGAGCCCTAGGGTGGTGCCTTCTTTTTTCATTAATTCAACTATTGTTGAGCCCTTGAATTCCTCTGTTGAAAGAAAATTATTCACATTATTAAAATGTAAGTAATAACACAGATGTTGCCTTTCTAATATGTCACCTTCTTCCCAAGAAAATCATTCTGTGTTAGTGAGAAATAACATGTACATCTGGAGATTTTTTATGTTATAATTCACAAGTTCTGTCCACAAGGCTCTGCATATAGATAAATCTTGAGCCATATGTTCTGTAAAAGGTTATTAAAAACTACACCAATGTGCTAGTATACTATACAGAACCCATAAATATGAAGTCTGGGAACACTTATAACTACTGATAGTTGTTTCACATTTTAAAAAAGCTATCTTTTCTCATTTTCTGCTCTCTACCTCTGACCTCTATGTTTTATAATACACTTCAACTGATTAAATAGAAGGGTAAACCACACAATGACATTACAGAACTATAATTTTGGTTCAGACTCACTTTGAGGCCCCTGGCAGATGTCATGTTAATAGGAACTACCGAATATAACAAGAACCCAGACAGAGATACATCAGACCTTAACAGTTTTATTCTTTACTTTTATGTAAATACAGCTCCACTGTAGCTCTCTGCAGAACAGGTATAAAGTAAATGAAGGCCTTTCATAATGATTAAGTGTATATAAAATTTCCCTCACAAGCTAAAACACCCTCTTCTGCGGTTTCTCCATTCTTGGAAAATAGTAAGTTAATTTCACAGTCAACAAAGGCAGGTCACATGCAACAAAAAGCCTCAAGCTTTCAAAACAGAGACGTCCTTATTGCAAATGGGTGGACAAGGCAACCTACATATGCAGTTTCAGCAGGACTGCAATTCTTTGGAAAGCCACATGTGCACTGTTTCCAGTCAGGACAGACCTAAGTAAAACCACCAGCTGCCCAGGTAGTCTGGAGGATCATCCCTTTCCATACTAATACAGCTTTTGGTGAACTAATGCAGCTTTTAGGTGAACTGATTAGATACAAACATCATATATTCACTGTAAACAAACTGTATGTCTGCACTGCACCAGCAAGCTTCCTGTGGCAGCATGAAATTTAAAAAGTCACCCAAAAACCAAGCAAGGTCCTTGTATATATTGAAATGTTCACCAGTAAGTGTAGAAGTAGCACTATAGCAATAGCAATAAGGCTATTTCAAGAGCATTCCACAGGACTGAGGAGATGACCTAACACATTTTCACCTTACGACGAAGAACTGCTGCCCTGAACAAGAATTGCCAAACCACCATCATTACCTCTGTATTTGAGGAAATGGTGGCAGATAGAGGAAATCATTCAGAAGAGACTCCAGTCCTGGTGCACAGGCTTGTAATCCTTGGTAGCACCTCTGCTAGGATTAGCTGCTGAATCTTTTTCTGATGTGGCATCATCCTGTGCTCCTGACCATTTCTAGGTGGCTGACAGGCTCTTCTATCTTTTGCCGCTGATGATGACCTCACTTCAGTCATTCACAATTTTACCATTATACAGCATGAATTTTCCAATTCTTGTCATGCTTGGATAAGAATTTCTCTATGCTTATAAAGCTTCTACTACAACAAAATTCTGCAATGCAGAAAATTCAGCAACACAGGTTGTCAGAAGCAGACAGCAGCAGACCTAACCGGTGCATTCTCCAATTTGGCTGACACCAAACTACCATTTGGCACCATCTGGAAGCTGTTGAGCTTCCATAATGTTTGCTCACATCTGGCCTCACTGACAGTTTAGAAAGAACAGATGTGATTACCTGCTTCTGAACATGCAGATATATTGCATAGCTGTAGAGATGCTATGGACCAAAGTGCTGCTTTCAGTTTTATAAAACCCTGTAAGTATTCATAATGAACACAAGAGTAAGTCATGGTACTTATTGCAACCAAAGATACTGTACATTGGCACCCATGAGGCAACCTCAGGTGCTCTGCCAGTGTGTGACACATGTTTATTCACAGTTTACTCAACCATAAAATCTGGAGTCAAAAGGGAAATTCCCCTCTCTTCCCACCTCCCAAGCTGAATCCTTCCTTTGTAATTTTCAGTAGTACAATCTGGCTTTCAGTACCCATCTAAGATTAAATTTTTTTAAACAAATACTTTGCCACAATGTGTATACAGGACATAAACAATGCACTGCAATGCAATGCCTAATCTTTTGCCGTAGCATAATACTGTCATGTGTTTTGATCTTTTACATAGGTTCTGAGTTTGCAATCCAATGCTGGGCAACACTCTGCTGCCCAAAGTACATGTGGAACAGATGATCCAAGCAGTATTTTAAGCAGGCTAACAATTATACAATTCCCTTCAACTACCGGCATGGAAAGAGACGACCAGGCTTGTTCCCTCTTACCATCTATTATGACAAATTTCTGTTAACCTCTGCCAACAGAACAATGACTTCTAGGCACTCTTCCTTGGTAGGCAGGCAGGAAAAGATGCACCAGTGCTGTAAGGGAGGGGTGCTGTCAAGTGCTCATTGCACTCAGACAAATAAGGTCATCTAGGCATGCACAGTAGTTTCATTAGGTTTGCTGCTCTGAAGGATTTTGTAGCTTTTGTTGTACATATCAGTCATATCAGGAAGAAATTAAAATACCTAAGCTGGTTTTGCTTACAAGAGACTGTTATCCCTGCAAGTGCTCTGAACCAGACCCATTTGATACCATCATTTTGATTTTCATCTTCGCTGTCTTAAATCGCACATGATTACTGTTCTTATAATGCTATATATGACATGCTTACTCATCTGCATTCCTTTGGCATTATTATTACAGACTAATCCCACTGAGTATTACTGAAATGCCCAATATCAGAACGACCCTGGGACTTCATTTCCAATCCAACATGCAACCGCATCTCTATGGGAATAGCACTAATGCAAGGTCAATCTCTGTTTCCTAGTCAAGACAATGCTACATTACAGTTTGAGGGTAAAACACCCAGACTACTACATGTATCACCTCACTCACAATTCATTACTTATGCCAACCAGCAAACTCCTAATTAGTTAGAAGTCTCTGGAGTCTGTTCTTTCCTACATGTACTCCCATACTGGTAATAATATTAACATAGTCAGCATCAGAAGGGAAAGCACAGAAGTTATTCCCAGACTTCTTATGAATTCACACTGGGACTTGCCTTCCCTCAGCCAAGAGAGGGTCTTGGGACTACCTCAGGACTTCCATCGCTTCCTGCTGTTGCAGGGACAACCCCTGGTCCATGCCTGTCCATGCTGCACCAGCCACTCTACAGCTTTCTTGGCATCCACCTACCTCTGCTATGGGGTTCAGGAATCCCGCTGAATCCTGGAGGTGGCTTGGCAAGGGGAGCACAGAAGTGCACACTTTTATACACAGGCACACATAAGATGAAAAAGAAAGGTTTCTGTTCCAAAGAGCTTCCCTTAGATCTACAGTTCTGTAAGCAGGAGCATACACAGGAGCTGAATTCTGAAGAAAACATTACACTGCTGCTGTTCTCTGAATTGCTGGTCTGGAGGCTTCTCTCAGGCTTGCTGTTGCAATACCATGCCTGCATGTGCCTGACTTGCAGCCAGGTCAGCTGGTGCATTCACACTATGATCTGTACACTATGATATGTAGTCTGGAGGACTACAGGGATACTCAGCATAGCACAAGAAAGCTTCAAAGATAAGCAGATGCTCAGATTCAAGACTGAGTAACACTTACTGTGAGAAGATGAACACATGGAACAACTCGGAGGTAGGTAAAATTGAAGAAATACCATGACTAATTTTTCTTCAAGGATAATAGCAACATAATAAAGCTTCTTGTATTTTATATAAGACTTCTTGTCATTTTCTACTTTTTGGTGTATGTAAATAATATCTTTCAATGAATAAACGGCATGGAAAATAAATTCTCATGAGACCTATGAACCTGGAATACATTCACATTTTCAAAAATAAAACAGTACTAGATGACAGAAGAGATCTTTTTCACAGAAAAATATTTGAAAGCTGAGAAAATTCTTAGTCAAAAGTTTCATCATTTATTTTCTAAAGTGCTACCATTCTATATCTTAATGCACAATTCAAGTAAAACTCAAAAATATTTACCTTCATTTCATATATTGAGTTCCTTTTGTGAAAATTCAATTTTAAAACCAAAAAAATGTCTAAAATCTATACCATCAGGTCAAGTGCTTGCTTCTATTCTTCACCTTGTGAATTTGAGTTTATCAAGTGCAGCTCAAACAGGGCATATATGGAACTGAACACTGAAGTAAAAAAAAAAAACAACAAAAACTTGCTGTTATTGATATTTTTCTACCAAAACCATATATAATTAATAAGTAAGTAATTGGTAAGTTTGCTGAAAATATAGTGAATGCTGTCCTTGAATGGATTTTCCCTTGTATGTCAGCAGAAATTCTGCAGAGAAAACAATTTGCTTTACATCCCAGTAGGCATCTCATGGCTTAATAAGAAATTACATAAAGATACAGTCAGTTCTTTGGGAACAGATAGCAGTTTGTTATAGTGGAGATATCACATTTACTCAGTGCTTCAAGTCCTGTGTATTTCTCTTAGTGTGACAAGAGGGATGTCAAGAGATGATAACAGTCCATTCCTTGTTGCCCTTTCCTTGACTGGCTGTCACTAACTTCTAAAACACCTAAATTTCTATCAAAAACAAACAAAACCACATCAGTGGGGAGAGTCTGAGGACATGAGGCTGGTCACAACCTGCTCTGTGGCCTCCTCTCCAGCCTGTGGAGGGACAATCCCCAAACCAGTCCTAGTTCAGAAGCCAGCAACCCACAGTGGAGGACAAACTGGTATGAGGTGCAGCAGAGCACACTGAAAGGCACAATACACTGCAGTTACCACCAAGACAGTGAATTTTAAACACTGCCAATGCAGGATGCCTTGGGTCAGCAGCCAGCTTAATCTGTATAAATGCACAGGTGAAATGTTGTACCATTTTCAGTGAAAACAAAGGAGATAGGTAAGGTTAAGATATTTGCAAAAAACTGTCTAAAACAGATTCAGTTTACA